CCCCCCCCCCCTGCGTTCGCGCGTCTGCGTGCGGTCTTTCACATTAGGCTCTGCGCAAGTCCACTGCGGGAATGCTCCGCAGCGGGGCGCGGCCGGTGGCGGTGGCGCCGACCGAGACGGGCCTTGAGCTGGTGTGGGAGACGCTGACGGACGACCTGAAGGCCGTGCAGGCCGGGAAGCTGTCGCTCGTCGTCAACGAGGAACCCGCGGGGATAAGGTGGGCACCACGTCTCGGTAGCCTCGGCGGATTATTGTTACGCTCGGCCTTGGTTTTCTCTGTGGCGAAACTGCGCTAGCGGGCGTTAGTTAGCGGGCTGTTGGTCTCAGGCTTGATTTCTCGCTCGCTCTCATTTTTTGAATAGATTGTCCCGATCACAGAACGAATATACCCAGTATTCAGTAGACAACACCATAGCAAAGAGTTAAAAAAAAAATGTCATGGGCGGTGTCTTGTTCCTTCTTGGCAGGATTGTTCGAGTGGCAGGTCCGGGGCAGCCGCAGGGCAAGACTCTCTCCGGGGAGGAGGAGATCGTGCAGAGCCTGTTGGAGGGGATCAACACGGTGGCCTACCCCAAGTCGTTCGTGAAGCGGAAGGCGCCCAAGGTCTCCCGCGCGGCGGCGGAGGCGGCCATGGCGGCGGCGGCTTCGGCGACAGGTAAGAATAAAATTTGTGCCGGTAGGTGGCAGCCCCTTGAACCTGCATTACTTGCGGGCAACTGGCATTCTTCAGAGTATGAAACATGTTGAATATTCCATCTGCGCCGGACTATTTCACTGGCATTATGCAGGACAACCGACATTGTTCAACCGGCATTATAGCGAGACCACTACTGTTTCTTGTTTGGCACAACAAACGCAAGGATGATGCCGACCAGCTTAGGGGAAGATCATGAACGTAGTGTAGCCTGGGCTGGCGAAAACCCGGCATATCGCTCCTCCTTCCCGGCTTGCTAGGTCATCGGTCTAACGACCACGGCGCGTTTTATATAGTATATCTTCCCCTTCGCCCTTAAAATGGAGCTGGGTTGTTTTGTTTCGGCGGTTCAAATCGGTTTCGAGGCCCCCGCGCACAGTGTTCGTTCATTTTGAGTACCCGCTCCGCTTCCCGGCGAACGCCTCGGGGAAAGGAGGAGGAGAGCAGTACTCAGCCCATCGAGTATATCGACGTCGTAATCAAGGAACTACTGCTGTGTACGCGTAGAAGGACTCGCTCTGCTTTCACTTGCGAGCTGACTACAAGGGCGGAATGAGATGACGGCGATGTCGGAAAGCACGGCTGCCGTCGAATTCTCCCACCAGCTATGTACAGCAGCGGGCTGAAGATTTGGTGGGAAAAAGCCAGCCTCTTGCGGCTCGCGCTCGTTCCCCCGTGGCTTGTCATGCCAACGGGCCTGGAGCGCTCATAATGCTGCTTCACATGCTTCCTTTTGAGTCCCCCCCCATCATGGTGCACAGGCTGTACGCCATGCACAATAGTGGGTCCCCCCCAAACATGGGACCGCCTTCTCGAGGAACTAAGTTTACGAGGAAATGAACAGGAAGGGGGTACGCAGACCTGATCTCTAACCTGACCCTGACCCAACTTCCCCGATTGCATTCCTTATCCAACATGCTTACTTAATAGAAAAAGCCGAAGGCTACTTACTGGAAACATGTGTGCGCGCCCCCTTTTGGCTACGCATGGTACTGAGTCCCCCCCCCCCTTCCAATAAAACCGTCGACCAGGCCCGGAGGCATCAGCTCCGCGGGAAGAGGCTGTCTCCGCGGCAACAGCAACAGCACCGGCTGCGGAAGCAGCGGCGGCAACAGCGGGGGCGGAAGGTGTGCCGGCGGCGGCCCCTCGAAGAAAGGGCCGCGGAAGACGATCGGGCGGCAAGCGCAAGTCCTCCTAATTTCGTTGTGACGTGACGGCTGGTACTGGAGGACCGAGCGCATAGACGACCCGAACAGGGGGGGCGGGGGGTTCTGCTGGCTGCAAGTCGAAGCACACGAACGATGATGGAATTTTGGTGGCTTTTTTTCGGGAGGCAAGCTCAAGTCCTCTCAACCTTGTTGTGACGTGACGGCTCGCAGTGGAGGACCGAGCGCATAGACTACCCCGTGTAGAACGTGGGAAGGGTGGAGGGAGGGAAGTATTGGGG